TGCTTTGCTGCAAAGTTGGGGTTTTTCCATTTAAATATTTGGGCATTCCCATTGGAGGAAGTAGTAGAAAGAAGGCCTTTTGGAGACCGTTAGTGGAACTATTTGCTAAAAAGTTATCTGCATGGAAGGGTCGGTACTTATCTCTTGGTGGACGGATTACCCTTATTAATTCAGTGCTATCCAGTCTTCCTGTGTTCTGGATGTCGGTGTATCTCATCCCAAAAGGTACGATTCATTCACTTGATAAAATTCGTAGAGGTTTTCTTTGGGGTGGGACTGCAGGAGAAAAGAAAATTAATTGGGTGAAGTGGGAACAGGTCTGCAAAGATAAAAAACAGGGTGGTTTGGGGGTTAAGGATTTGAGAAAATTTAATATAGCCTTATTAGGAAAATGGTGGGGGAGGATAGTCATGGAAGATAAAGGACTCTGGAAAAAGGTTATTGCGGAGAAGTATGGACGGGTAAGGGAGCCTAGCTTCAATTGGTTGAGGGAGAACATTAATTTTGGCTCATCTTGGTGGAGGGACTTAAGTAGATTGAATGATATAGATGACGAGAAGAAAGGATGGTTAGTGGAGGGGCTGGAATTAAAACTAGGGGAAGGGGTAGACATTAGTTTCTGGTGGGAGAAGTGGTGTGGGGATGGGTGTTTAGCTAACAAATATCCTAGACTGTACTTGTTATCTGTAGGAAAGGACTTTAAGATCCCACAAATGGGAGGTTGGCTCAATGACACTTGGATGTGGAGTCTAAGATGGAGAAGGCCCCTATTTAGCTGGGAAGAACATCAAGAACTCGAGCTCCTAAAGGAGATTAATGAGGTAACAATCGTAAGAGGAAGACCAGATCAAAGGATATGGATTCACAGTACAGATGGTAGCTATACAACCAAATCAGCATACCAGTTACTTGCTGCAGATCATAGAAACAGTCAGCAGGGGTTGGCTCTTCAAAAAGCATGGAATCCACTTATACCGAGTAAAATCTCAGCATTCTCTTGGCAATTGCTACAAGGTAAAATTCCAACAAAGGATAATCTGTTGAAGAGAGGCGTGGTTCAGGACCCTGGCGAATGCAGATGTGAATTATGTGGTGCAGGGGAGGAAAATTCCAGCCACCTTTTCGTTCAGTGTAAAGTGGCACGTGATCTATGGACATCTTGCTACAAGTGGTGGGGAATTAAAACAGTAACTGATAATGATTGCTTGAGATTTTTTGAACAACATTCCAGTATGCTGAAAATAGTGGGGATGAAGCAGGGATGGGAATGCATATGGTTTGTAGTGATATGGACAATTTGGTTGGCTAGGAATGGAAAATTGTTTAGGGGGAAGGAGGTGGATGGTGGAAGGTTATTTGAACTGGTCAAAATCAGGGCCTTCAGCTGGATTAAGGGCAAAAGGAGCGATAGCTTTTTTTCCATAGCTGATTGGATCCAAAATCCTGTAAACTGTTTGAGTTTTAACCGCGACAGTAGAAGGAATCTCAAGAGAAAGCCATCTGAAATGGAGGTGGAGCAATGAACGAAGGAGATTATGTACCTGAAGCATTGAGGGTCTTTGGAGTTCCAAGTGGTAGTCAAGAGGGAAAGATGCAGATAGAGATAGGATTGTGGAGCTTGTTCAACTAAGGGCATGCAAAGGAGGGGGGGTTTTTTCTCATTGGCGGACTGGTTCCACAACCCGGTCGGTTGCTTGGAGATGAGCTATGGTAACAGAAGAGCATGAACAGTGAAAAATGGAGAAATTGAAAAAGAGGACAGAAACCCGTCACGGATGTGGTGTCGACACCAAAATTCGACACATAATTTTTGTGTCGACACCATATGGAAAGCATCAGAATTCATTGGGTTTGATCAGAACAGTGAGAAATGGAGAAAGTGCGAAAGAGGACAAAAATCCGACACGGGTGTGGTGTCGACACCAAAATTCAACACATAATTTTGGGGTCGACACTATACTGCAGGCATCAGGATTCCGACACGGACACACTGAAGGGCTAATTGACTCATGTAATTTATGCCTTTCAAGCTTGAGATGTTAATGGGTTTGGGGTACCCCTTGTACTCCGTTTTTTTTTAATAATAAATATTACTTTTACCGTTCAAAAAAAAAACCATACCCTGGAATATAATTAAGTTTACCTGACAAGTAATTCAAAATTATACGCATAAGAATAGGCCCTACCTTGTGGTTTCCATAAAATCAAAACACAAAGAAGCTCTACTTAACATTTTAAAGAAAATAATGCTAAAGGCGCAAGCTACACCCTTAATTTTTTTTTTTTTTTGCAGGGACAAAAAAGAAAGGATTTAAACTCAACTGTGGCAAGATAAAAAATCCTAAACATAATTGATTTCTAGTTCTACCACAGCTATTGAAAAATGCCATAGTCCATATTATTAATTAATTTTAAGTTAAATAATCAGATTTTATGTTCATACCAACATGTTAAATTTTCATAAATAGTAGAAGTAGTGCAAGCACATGTTGCATCAACCGGTTGCCATGTCAAGTAAAATGTTTTTTAGATGCAG